AAAACAAACCTGCATAGAAATCGGAATAATAGGTCTTTTGATTATCGGAGACGCATTTCAATGGACTTGATTACGGACAATGCATAACTTAAATTTCACCAGGAAATTCGGCAGTGTGCTCTCGCAATCGCGTACTTAGTCATTTTTACAAGGTTTGCCATTTTTGATGTCACGTGATAATTATGTAAACAATGTCTGTCCAGTTTGTGCGAACTTGCACCTCTATACTTAGTCTTTTGATATATATAACCTAAATTACTGTTCTGAACGAGACAACAGACAGAGAATGTTTTATTTAAAAACGTCACAAAACCTTCTCGCTACCTTAAAGAATTCATTTCTCCAATCTTTTGATTTAGAGCATTTATCTTGAAATGAGATTTCTGACGGTTGAATGTGAAATCCTAGTCGCAGAGTGAAATAATTATAATATTTTAGTGATGATACAAATGTAGTTTGATACTTGTCTTGTTAAATACTGACTTTCAAGTGTCAAAACTTTGCATATCCCCAATCATACATAGCAGGAACCACCTTGAGTATTTCAATTGTCTGTCAAAACTTGTTAATTGCAGTTATTGCCAATATGCCATCCACTGTGCAAACACCATGTGCGGCATTTATCAGTTCATGAACATTACAGTATGAAAATCCTCAGAGATAATGATGTCACAATACCCAAAGGTTATGTTGCTAATTCAGCCGAAGATGCCTTACGAGTCAGTAAAAAATTAGGTAAGCAGAGATGGCTACAATTATGTTCTCTTTGATTTGTACATGTCTGTGGTAATGCCAATCTCTTCATATATGTATAGAGAATTGGAATCTGATGTGACAAAAAAAGTTAAATTTCATTACCTATTCGTGAATGTTTCCAGTCTAATTCACCAAGACTAGTATATACACCTGCTGCCAAACTAACCTGAATAGTTCAATAAAGAAGATGACTATCTCACATATACCTGTATATATATATTTTTTTAGTTGAAGAAGGAGCAGAAGACCTCGTTATTAAAGCACAAGTATTGGCTGGTGGAAGAGGTAAAGGAACATTTGATAATGGTTTCAAAGGTGGTGTTAAAATTGCTTTCACGTAAGTTCTTTACTTTCTACTATTCCGTTTTTTATAATTTATTACAGATAACCATTGTTCTTAAAGTGAAGATATGATCCCATGTTTGGCACAAAAATAAAAAAATATTAGAACTGCATTGCCTAAACTGTTTGTTTTCATCAAGCACATCATAACATTTTTTTTTTTTTTAAATCTTATTCATAGAACTTCACGATCGAAAACTGTATGCACCTTGATGTAAACCACACAATAACTAGAATAATTGAACTAGTATAGCACTTGCTTGGAACAAAATTGGTGATTTTGTAAATTTCAGTATTAAAGTTAACTAATTTTGTGTTGTCATTGCAGACCAGAGGAAATACAATCATTTGCTTCAAAAATGATTGGAAACAAATTAATCACCAAACAGACTGGTAAAAATGGCAGAATTTGTAATGAGGTAGGAATACAATTAAGAACTATAAATTTGTTTGTTACCTGCATTGTTCAAATGAAAAAGTGCTTTTCTTTCTGTATTGCCATTTCAGAAATTCATAAAACACCAGTCATAATCACTGATTTGTTCATATATGTATCGTTTGTGCAAATATTTGTATTGTTTACATACTTAACAATACATATTGATATTTGATTACTTTGGTAGGTTTACATTTGTGAAAGACTTTACTCAAGAAGAGAAACATATTTCGCTATTACAATGGACAGAACACACAGTGTAAGTGGGACATGCTGATAATACTTTTCTAAAAATAATAATTCCACAACTTGAAGATTGAAATTGTGCTCAGTTGTTATAGATGACTATTGTTGCCTTGTTTGACACATTATTAGTCTTTCTTGTATATAAGGTACTTCACTACCATTAAAAAACATTTACATGGTTTACTGTCATGTTGAAAATTCTTAAATAAAGATATATGGCCACTGATCTAAGTTTTTGCACAAAACCACCTCGAGAACTGATCAAAAATGCACGTTTTGGGTAGTTTGCAATTGGTTTCTATGTCAGAAACTCTCTATCCTATCTCTATAAATGATATGTTTACATGTATTTCTTTGAAAAATGGCTGCTTTTTGGATTATTTTGCACATATTTTCATGAAAACACATCCTTGTGCGTGATTTACTTATGCGTCTATTTTTTCTATGTTTTAATGGTAGCAAACTACTTTAATCAGTGTGAAAATAATCATTTTGACAACTGTTTTCATTAAGTTGAAACAAGATTACTTAGTTTGTTGGTTTCCAGTAATTTAGTACTGTACTCCCATTTTGCAATAAGAATGTAATTATAACTCATTAATATCAATACTTGCACATGTACCATACAATCATGGAGTGGTACAATTCTCGGTTTCCGAATTGATAGCATTTGCGTGTTCATCAATTGTGAGCTTGCGCATATTGCGTGACCTGGGGTCAACAAACCGGAAGGTAGGACAGATTTTGAACAATCCAAACACGCAAAGTCGCATCAATGTTTCCAACTTGCAATGAAAAAATTCCCCTGGAATAAAACTGTCATCATTTTCAACTAACTCATACCAGCCTTTGAAAATTTATACAATATTCTGCCTAAGCAAGAATAACGAGCATGCATATGATCTTTGGTTATAGCGTAATATTTTCATATTTTTTGCGGGTATGGAAGTTGAAAAACTATTTGTGGTCATATTTTACTCTGTGAAACACACATATACCATCTCTATTTCAGTCCATTTTCTCTGAAAAATCATCTTTTTCAACTGGAAATCCATGTTTCTCACTGTCTTAAAATAGTTCTTCCAGCTG